GAAGAAAACAATGTTTTCTATAGCGCACCTTAAGATAAAACTCACGAGGCGCTTCACAAAAACAAAACGTAGTATTTTTTTTTGTAGAAATATATGGAAAGAGAGGAGAAAATAAATAGGACAGAGGGAATTCAGTGGAAAGGCAGAATGGGTAGAAAGTGCAGAACAAGGGGAGGATGATGATGAAGGTCATACAAAAACCAGCTTGAACAAGTGAGTCTTCAGCTGCTTTTTAAAGGAGACCACTGAGTCCACTGATCTCAGGCCCAGGAGGAGAGAGTTCCAGAGTCTGGGGGCCACAGCAGCAAATGATCTGTCACCTTTGGTCTTTAGCCTGGTGCTGCACAACCAGTAGGCTTTGATCACTGGATCTCAGGGACCTGCTGGGGGTGTAGGGACTAAGAAGATCACCAACGTAAGATGGTGCTTGTCCATGTAAGGCCCTACAGACCAGAACCAGGATCTTGAAATGAACCCTGAAGTTGACTGGCAGCCAGTGAAGCTGGAGGAGAAGCGGGGTGATGTGGGTGTGTTTGGAGGACTTGGTCAGAAGCCGAGCACAGGCGTTCTGAACCACCTGTAGACGGTTCAGGGAGGTTCTGCTCAGACATGTGAAAAGAGAGTTACAGTAGTCTAAGCGTGAGGAGATGAAGGTGTGGAGAACTGTCTCAAGTTCAGAGCGGGACAGAATGGGACTCAGCTTAGCAATGCTCCTGAGATGGAAGAAGGAAGAGCAAACAAGAGAACTGACATGAGAATCCAGGGTGAGAGCTGGGTCAAAGGTCACGCCAAGATTCCTGACAGAAGGTTTGGTGTGGGAAGCAAGCTGACCAAGAGAGTCTCTGACTTTGGGAACCAGCTAGTCTGGGGCACAGATGAGGATCTCAGTCTTATCTTCATTCAGCTGTATTGTTAATGGTTCTGGAGCACAACTTTGATAAAATCTTCATGCAGAAAAGTGAAAAATTTATTTCAATTCAATTCAATTCAATTTTATTTATATAGCGCCAAATCACGACAAGAGTCGTCTCAAAGCACTTCACATAATAAACATTCCAATTCACAGTTCATTAAGCCAATCAGAAATAATGTGTCCTATATAAGGAACCCAGCAAATTGCATCAAGTCACTGACTAGTGTCAGTGACTATACAGCAATCCTCATACTAAGCAAGCATGCAGCGACAGTGGAGAGGAAAACTCCCTTTTAACAGGAAGAAACCTCCAGAGAATCCTGGCTCAGTATAAGCAGCCATCCTCCATGACTCACTGGGGATGGAGAAGACAGAGCACACACACACACACACACACACACACACACACACACACACACACACACACACACACACACACACACACACACACACACACACACACACACAGACAGATAAGTAATGTGTCTATAGTTATATTGTGATGTCTTAGTAAATATTGTATTTGGTGAAAGATAAACTTTATTGTATTTATCCTAGTGGATCTATAATTAAATGGATAAACTAGTATTAGCACACCAAAATTCAATGAAAACAAAAAGTTATTATCAGGAGAGAGAGAATGTTTTAGTGGTTAGCAGCAGTGTGCTAGTCGATGGCCCCCTCCATGAGGCCACCACAGCTCAGCAGAACGCCATTGTAGCTTCTTCTGGGGAGAAAAACACTTAGAGAGAAAATAAAATATAAATAAATAAATAAAATATTTAGATACCTTTGCAGTTTGTACTGAGGGGGGATGACAATAACCACACGTAATTTGCTGTAATTCTCATTTAATGGATGCATGAATATGGAGACATAAGTCTTAACTGGAACCTTTAATCTGCAAGAAAGATACTGTTGCCTAAACAAGGTCCCTCTCAAGTTTCCTCTTATCTTTATCTGCTTTGTTTCACAGAACAAGAAGAAGGAACTTTTATAACAAGGAACCGTTATAATAACGAATACTGGATGATGCAGTAGAATACGTAAATCATTATAGGGTTGAATGAACAATAATGGCTGAAGAATAATAACAACGTTTTGATTAATCTGTGCTTAAATTACTGAAGTTGAAATGATTATTATTATGTTATGATCAGTAAAGTTTGATTTAACAATTGAATCACTATCTACTGACAGCTCACACACTCACACACACACACACACACACACACACACACACACACACACACACTCACAGAGAGACAGACAGACACACACACACACACACACACACTCACAGAGAGACAGACAGACAGACACACACACACACACACACACACACACTCACAGAGAGACAGACAGACACACACACACACACACACACATACACACACACACACACACACACACACATACTCACACACATGACAAGATGGCAAGATTAAACTAATCTCATGACACATTGCTTTCTGTTCCACCAATCAGAGCTCCCGTATCTATGCAAGGTGTGGTTTCTGAGGTTGTTCGCAAAACTCCTTTACATGTCAAATTCTGATTTGTCGGTAAATCAAATTATGGTGATTAGTAAAACAGAACTCACTTCTTCGTGAGTCAGTTGAGCCGAACTCTGGACTGGCCACCGGAGGTGAACTCTTCTCCCATTGCATCTTTTGACAAGCTGTCAAAACCTACAGCTGACCGCAAATGGTTCCTTCAGAATAAAGCTGACACAGCAAGACTCCTTAAGAGTCCTTCCATAGACACAAATAACTACCTGTTGTGACCTAGAGACATCTCCTAGACCAGTCTAGTGGTGCTGCAGTTTCTCCATGGACTTTGGTACCTTTGGGGTCCATGGACTTCAACACATTCCGGATCTACCACGAGGGTCTTCGAGAGGGTACGTAGTAGGGGTTGTATGAACTAGTCGACTAGTCGACTTCACGTCTCTGTAGTGACTTTTTATGCCTGTCATCGACTAGCCGCTGTCAGGTGATAATGACTGACAAGATGCAGTCCTCGGAAAAGACAGCAGGTGATGAGCCCCTGCGCATCGGGAGGCGGAGGCGACGCGCTGTGCCAGAGCGTTGGTACTGACACCGGCAGTAAAATGGACATTTAACCAAACTGTGACGTTTACCCTCTTGCAATTTTACCTTCCCCTCACCCCCATCCTAACCTTAACCAGTTTGCGCATGCAAAGCTCTGATCGTTGACGCGCTCCAGACTGCGTCCTGAGCAACGCCAAATCAGGTGTCACCACCTCAAAAACAAATTAAACACGCGATCGTTCATGTCGGCTCATTTCCTTTAATGTTTTCTGTCTGTTATTTGTGCCTGATGTGTTTCGCTGCTGCGGAGCGAGGCGCATCACCTGTTTTGTCCTCCAGTGACGCACCCCCAAGATTCCACTCTCCACTCCGCTCCGGCACGAACTCCGCAGAAAAAACGGTCCCGTTGTAGTTGGCCGGCGAGCAGCGGCATTCCGCTGTTTTTGCGGTCGGTAGATCTTTTAGAACTGCAGCTCAAAGGTAACTCATAAGGTGAATATATATGAACCCAGGTAGCAGTTTCTCTTTAGGATTGAGAGGAGATGCAGGAAGATAATAAACAGGCAGGACAGAAAAATAGTCAAATAAAAACAAGTTAGTTTTTGTACCTGGTGGTTGCAACAAACAGACACCACTGAAGGTAATCAGAAGTGAGGAACAGAAAATGAAATAATTATTTTAATGTTTAGAGCAGCAGGAACTCCGAGAGGCTGCAGGCGCATCAGTGAGTTTGCGGCCGCTGCGCAGGGGGAGGGGGGAGAGGGCTGAAGCAGAAACTACCGTTGTTAAAAGAAATGTGTTTAACTTTGAAAATGTGGGCGCAACTTTAATTGTCAAAAACTCCAGCGAACCTACCGACCCCCCCCCCCACCCCCCCCACCCCCCGGCCACTTCAGGTGTATGACGTCATCGAGTAGTCGTAGTCGACTCGATTCATTACCTGACTGTTGACTTTTAAAAAAATTAAGTCATGCAACCCCTAGTACGTAGACACGTGTAATGTCCAGTAATGGTCAGTTTTAAGTATAGTTTGACCCTTCAATATCTGGTCGACATGGAGACACGAGACTGCATGTGTTTCCTTTAATCTGACGGATCCTGCATCCCATCAGCTGGAACTCAGAGCCTCTCTGCAGCTCTGAACACATGATAACGTATTGTCAACAATCATGTTCCCTCCTCAAGGCCCAAGCTTCCCTCGTCTTTCTGCAGGACTCTTCATGCCTCTGAATAAACAATAATCCAAGAATCTTCTGATAAACACACAAAGACCAAGCAGGGTGATATTCTATATTTATATAGAGTATCACAGCTTGTTGCTCATAAGTAGAGGTAATATATTGAGCTCTTAAAGCACTCAATTTACCGACTGCTACACATGACAGATTGTGTCTGATGTGGTTTTATAAACCCTCACTTATAGTTTATAGCAGACCAAATTCACTCCCACTCAGAAGTCATTTTGTTCAGACACGAGGGTTATAACATCACACTCCATCCACTTAGATTCATTCATCACATAAAGTGTTTCCTAGTTGTCACGTTTTTAGTTGTTTAGAAAATAAATGTCTTACTTTTTACAAACTTGACTCTGTCTGAATTAATACGAAGTGTGTTACGATCCCTGAATAAACAAAAAATCTTAATTCTTCTGGTTAAACATTCAAAGAGCAATAAGGTTGATACTCTTATCACATCTTATTGATCACAATTAAAACCCAAAATAAATCTGTAGTCTAACTACAATCATTACAAGCTAAACCCCAAAGTAAAATCTGGTTTTCCAACGATATAAAATCCACCGCCAAGAAGTTTTTATTTATAAATGACCTATCGTGCTACTATATCACATGTTCCAAAACCAAGCTGAAATACATCTTTACAAGCTTTGACTTAAAATTTTGAGCAATATTTTAATGCCCCCCCCCCCCCCCCCCCCCCCCCCCCCAAAAAAAAATTGCACAAATAATGATTTTACAGTGGGTAGTTCTGGTATGGTCCAAAGACTGGTACGCAGTGAATCAGGGACTGACCTATGCAAGTCCGTGCTGGAACTGAGGACTGGCTGATCCAGAAAGAGACCCAGGAGAGAACCACGAGCAGGGTGGAAGGAACATATGTCTCCAAGATAAAGAACAAGACGTTCCTGCGCAGGGAGAAATGCAGCACCAGCTTGGGGTAACGTCCTGTGCGGTGACATAAAAACAACACAGCTTTCTAAACAGATAAACATGATTTATTACATTTGTGCCCCACTAGATTTATTTTTCCCGTGCCATGACTCCACACGGTACCTGTTTCATACACAGCTTCTGACACTGATGTGTAAAAGCTCTCCACACTGTACTGAGCCAGCCGCAGAGTGTCCAATCCCTTCACTGAATCATTCCCTCTTGTCCAGTAGAACACCACATCCTGGATGTTATAGCCCCCTGACAAACACATTCATTTATTAGCTTTTACACAGTCAAGCTAACTCAGAAACACACTTCCACATTTCCATACAGGGATAAAATGGTGAAAGTAAAGATATGGGGGTGATTCATGCGCAATCGCACATCTGACAGGGGGTTGGTGGAGCTTACAGGAAGTACTCACAGCTCTCCAGCTGCAGGGTGCACACCTGTTTATCCATTGGGTATTTAGTCAGGTCCATGTTGCAGGCAATTGTAGCAGTGATGCTGTTGGGTTTTCAAAGTAAAAGCACCAACAATTACTGGAGAAAAAAGTCTTTTTAATGTTGCACAATGCAGAAACTCATTAGAGACAAAGCACTTCATTACCCTAAGAAGAAATGAACAGAATGATTATTTGATGTGTTTAGGTGTGCGATAGTGAAAGCACCTTAGCTACCCTTCGTTTGTATATTTACATTTCTGACTCACTACTCCTCCCAAACCTTTGGACAAAGACATGCACAAATACACCAGACAGAAACTGTAACTATCGCCGTACCAACATCCAACAATGTAGATGCAGTCAGCAAAAATCCACTAACATCCACATAAACAAGCAGTGGGGTCTTGGCTAATTGAGGGTGAAACCCAGGGCTTCTGGTTGTTATAGCCCAGCCAGACGTTTCAGTAGAAACATTCAATTCAATCCAATTCAGTTTATTTACAAAGCGCCAAATCACAACAAGCGTCGTCTGAAGGCACTTTACATAGTAAACACTCCAATACAGCTCTGGGTAACACTTCACAATAAGGGTCCCTTCATTAATGTTACTTAGTGCAATATTAAGCATCAATAAACCATTAATAAAGTGTTAACAACTGCTTTTATGCATTACATAGCATTAATAAACATATTATGTAATGCAGTATTAAGCAGTTAACTACAGTCTATTATTTAACTCTAGTTAATGCAGTACCAAGCTTTAAATAACACTTAAATGATTTAATTACTTTGAATCACGTCTGTTAATTAACCCTTAATAATTATCCAAGTAAACATTTATTATGGGTGTGTATTTGCAATAAATAATTGTTTATGTTCTCCAAACTCGACTAAAACTATATGGAAAACAAAACCATTAATTTTAATGTCTAATTAAATATTAATAAATTAAATGCAATAATATTTTAACTTTATTTTAGAAGAGCTTCTGGCCCTCTGCTGGAGAAACCTCCGGCCCTTGAACAGATTTGGTTGTCCTAAAGGGACACGTTGGTACATCGGTGACACCGTGTCCACTAGGTGTCCTCAGAATATAATTTACTGGATTTTGCTTCAGCAGTTTCAGTTTGGAGCCATGACTGTTTCTAACTTAAACCATTCATTGTTTTGGCTGTTTCTGCGTATTAGCTCTAGATCACAGTTTAACCTGTACTTAGTAATCACTGCTCAGTACTCAGTCAATTGCGTTGGCTTGCTTCCACATTTAGTTTTAAAATTTCATGTTTTAAGTTTTAATCTTTTCTGTTTTTACGATTGGGAGATTAACATTTTTAAAAGTTTGTACTTAGATTTCAAAAATCGCAGCAGCATCCTGACTCATTCATAAATGAAATGCCACCATCAATGTTGACAGACGTGAATCAACGTGTCCTAAATCAGGCGGAATGGAAATGAGCCCGACCATACGGCAGTAACTGCCCTTCCTGTCCCTAATTAAGCTTTGGAGTCAAAACAGCGTTCTGGGGCAGGGTGATGACACAGACAACACGTCAAGATGCATTTTCACCGAAGCCGCATGAACACAACAAGTCAGAAGAGTTTCAGGGGAAACAGAAATCCAGTTCTACTCCCTTATCTGAGAGGGGGAGGATGCGCTTGCTCTTCCTCTTTTTTTAAACATGACCTGAGGCCCTTTAATGGTTAACTGCAAATGAATCACAAAAACAACTACGTAAACGTACCGAAGGGCGTAGAGGACAGTCCCATTGCTGAAGATACGAATGAGGCGGTTCTCCACAGTGACGTCGTGGAGGAAGGAACGTTTGGAGTCTGGGATGAAGGTATCAGGGATCCACAGCAGGGACACCAGGCGCCCGTCCACGCTCACACTCTCATTTCCAGGAAACACCAACCTGGAATCGCGCCAGCGTTGACGGAGGAAGATGGTTGCAGTGTAGTCCTGAAAGGACCAAACTGGTTAATTACTGCAATGACATTTGACATAAAAACAAAGAATGTTGAGTTGCATACCATGTTGATTTCAGAGATGGCATCGATGCTGGCAATATCAAGACTCATTCCGATTTCCACTGGGCCTTCTACGTTAACCAGAAATGTAAAGTCTGATCATCTTTTAGACTCTAGAACAAGTTAAAAAGAACTTTTCGAGCTACTGGCTACCATTGAAATTGGGCCTAAGATAGCGATTGTATCCCTTCATGAGTCTCTGAATTGTGGGCTGAAGCTGGGAGTCGTTCCATTCACCCCAATGGTTGCTAGGGAACATACAGCGACTGAAAAAAAACAGAAAATGAGACGATAAAGGAGAAAATGATTGGTCAATCCTTGTACATCACATCATGCCACGGTATCAATTATTAAATTGATCAATAACTTACTGCGTGTGTGTGTGTGTGTGTGTGTGTGTGTGTGTGTGTGTGTGTGTGTGTGTGTGTGTGTGTGTGTGTGTGAATCCATCTCAGGTCCCTCACCCCTGTGTGACGGTCAGACAGAAGACAAGGAGCTCCTGCAGCTGGACAGTCATGGCGACTCGACGGGTGGAGGTCAGCAACTCTGCTTGGATAAATGCAGCAAAGGCCAAATCATGAAAAAAAAACACTGTCCTTTGTCTTCCACATGCACATATTATGGGATGGCACAGCTTCTCCAAAGGATGGCAGCATATGCCTGAATGTGGTGGCAGACCACCGGGGAAACCTGCTGCACCAGAACCATTCGCATCCTCTGAGCATGTAAAACACCCCTCTGCCCCGAGACTTGGAAATGCTCTGGAGTCTCTTATTGATCCCTTTTCTCTGCCATTAACACCCAAGCAGGTGATTTGTCCAGCTGTCACACATTTGCACACAAACACAATTACTAACTCAATCGCAGATAGAGCAGCTGTACGAGGTGTTCTGATTAATGTGGCCACCATCACCTCATGGTTTATTCACAAAGCCTCCCTGACAACTAATCATGTCACCAAGTCACCAAGGAGTGCTTGTTGGCTGCTTGGTCCTCACCACCTCTCCTGCAGATTAATCGCTTCGCGCTCCAACAGAAATCAACACTCTGTCCTCAAAATGATGCAAACCTGTCTCGTTTGTTTCCCAAAGCAAACGTAATGTTGACAAGTTGCACCCGGTAAATGACTCTGCACACATTAATTCAACTGATTTCTGTTTCTAATGGCTGCATGGAGAGTTGCAGAGCAATACAGTTTTAATAAGACCCATTTGCTTCCTTGCACGTCAGCTCAGATCTTTTTTGCTCTGTGGTTTTAGTCTCTTTTATAATCTTGTGTGCCTGAAGACCGTTGCTGAACCACAGAGTAGCACTTATCAGCGTCTTTTTTCTCCACCTGCAGATTTCTGGTAAATAAAACAGCACAAACCCCTAAATCAGCATCTGTCTTCTTGCCCTGAAATGTCTTCATGCTGTCTCATTTCTCACCCTGAACTTTCTCTTACCTGCTTCGGTGTTGGACCTTTTTCTCCACTCCTTTATTGCACCCTTGTCCCTTTTCCTTCTCTTCTCCGCTCTTCTCACCTCTCTTTAAATCCTGCGTGCTAAAAAAATTCCAAATTTTGTCTCCTTCCTCAGTTTTCCCTGATCATATCCCGGTGTTCCTTCTTGCATCTAGTCCCGGTGTGTGATCTGCAACTGGATGTTTGTGCAGCTCCCCCATCTCACCGTCTCCCTGCACAGCCGTAGCCATCTCCCCCCTGAGCCAACGTGCAGCCCCCCACCATCATCTCCCCCTCCTCCCTTTTCCATTCCTTTCTCAGTTAACAGCAGTCAGCATCACATCTGTGCCGCATCCTATTTCACTGCGTCCAACCCCTGCCCACAAATTTGCAAAGCAGTTTTCGAGGGGATGTTCCCTGCTCTTCATCCAAATGTTTTATTATTTTGTATTTTTTTGGCACAACGTGTTCCTCATATGATCTTCTCATAAGTTTCAAAAAAGTCATTAAGTGTGGAAATTCAACTAACAAGTTCTTTAAAGTGTTCAGAAACTTCATTTCTACAAAACACATCAACTCTACTTTGATCCCCCTCTGCTATTCCCTGCCCTCCTCATCCCTCTGGCTTCTGATATCCGCCTCCCTTTTCTCCGATTCACCCTGACACTCCTTCTCCTCCTGGGCTCCCGCGCTCTCTGCTGTCAGATCCCCTCATGCCCTCGCCACCCTCACCTCCAAAGTATGCTCCCTCGCATCAGCATCCTTATCTAAATTAGTGTCTTCTTGGTTTTGTCCTCACTTGCAAAGAAGTACCCACGCAGCTCAGATGACATTCTTCTCCTCGTTCGTTTGTTTGTTTTTCTACATTTGAGCCCTGAGAACACCAGTTATGCTCTAGATGTTTCTGATGAGGATTACAGACCTTCTGGTCTTGCTAATTCCGATGGGCGTGACTTATCCACACTCACAGCCGTCATTTTTCTCCACTACTGCTGAGATTATGCCATTAATCTTTATGAGCTCTCTGCTCTCCCGTGGCTCCAGAACTGAGTTCAGACTATAATTGTGGAACCTGACCTTCGAAAATACACGAGTAGTCGCTCCAACTTGTGTGAGGCCACAGGAAAGACCTCATCGCATGTGCTCAAAAACCCATTGCGGGTCACATTCCTTCAACACTTCATTGACCTCTGCCAACATCAGTCCCTAACAAGCTGATTTGTTGGACTTGTGGGTTGTTTAGTCAATCCTGGACACTTTACAGAAGCAAACATGTCGTAAGCTGCCTTTACTAAGAGCTGGATGCCTTACTACCAAAGACAGCAATGATGCTTTTGCATTCACCTTGAGAATCAGATAACCCAGGTAAGGTCATCGATGGAGACTACATTTTTTATGTCCGAGTTAGAGGTCTAACGAATAGTTGTCACCCAGTGATCACAACTCGCTTCCCAAATCCAGCATGTTTTACAGTTTTCCCTGCTTCAACACACCTGATTTTAGTCAGCAGGTGCCTGATGTGCTGCTGAATGTGTTGGATTAGGAAAAGAACTAAAACAAGCTGGGTACCGGCCCCCGGGAAGGGAGTTGGGGATCACTGTTGTAGCCGTTGCAGTGATGTCAGAATGACAGACAGCTAAGGGTTAGCCAGCAGCGACTGTCTTCTACTTGTCTGAATCTTCATTTGTGTTCTCTACTCACAAGCACCTGGGTTTGTTTTTCTGCTTTTTATTTCATTACTTGGAAATTGATTTGCGCTTCCATCTTCATATCTTTTTATCTAGCTCATTTATTACTTGGCTTAATTTAAATATTTTCTCATTTGCTTTTCAATTTTTCCCTGACAGTGTTGTTCATCTGTCCAGTATTTACTTTTCTTCATAAGCTCTCCGCTTAATCAATTGGATTTTATTGCCTTTTGAAGCAACACACTCAAGCTGCAGGAGAGATTTGATTGTGGGTTCCACAGAAGTCTAGACATGCAAGACCCAGTTGGACTGGTAGATGCGATCAGACAAGAGCAGAGACTGTTGGTTTAGACATGAAGAAAATATTTTCTCAGGATGTTCCACGTGACAAAGTTCACACGAATTAAAACTTTAGATAACAAAAGAAACTTGGTTTGCAAAATTGATCCAAAATGATTGATGTTTGTTTGTTTGGTTGGTTGGTTAGTTGGTTTGTTGACTGTTTTGCAGGTTGTCTGGATGCTTGACTAGTCATCTCACTGATTGGTTAACTGGATTTTTGACTGATTGGCCACCTGTTTGGTTGACGGCTGACTAGCTGAATAGGTGATTTCATTGGCTGACTGGCTGATGGGTTTATTATTTGTTTAGTTAGATGATTGGATGGTTGGCTATGTGTTTGATTTGCTGGTTACAGGGCAGAACACCGGCATTTGAACACCCTGCAATTTTGCAAGTTTTCCCACTTAGAACTCATAAACGGGTCTAAAATTCACATTTTAGGTGCATTTCCAAAAAAATCAGGAAATCACATTGTTTGATTTTTAAATTATTTATTTGTATTGCACTTCTGCACGTACGTTTTTGAAGACCTGAGAAATCTGTGTTAATATTTGTCACACAAGCCTTGGTTTGCTAGCCTGGCAAGCCACCCTATGTGAAAATATATAGTGTGGGCCATTTATATGGATATTAACGTCCTGTTTGTGGCACATTAGTATATGTGAGGGGTCAAACTTTTCAAGATGGGTGGTGACCATGGTGGCCATTTTGACGTCATCTTGGATCCAACTTTTGTTTTTTCAATAGGGAGAGGGTCGTGTGACACATCAAACTTATTGGTAATTTCACAAGAAAAACTATAGATACTTAAACTCCTCCACTTCAGGCACAAACCCATCCCTGTCCAGGAGAAGGCATTCTACCCTTTTCTGACTAGACCATGGTCTCAGATTTAGAGGAGCTGATTCTCATCCCAGCTGCTTCACACTCAGCTGTGAACCGCTCCACTGAGAGCCAGAGATCACGTTCTGATGAAGCCAACAGGACCACATCATCTGCAAAAAGCAGAGACCTGATCCTCAGGTCACCTCAACGAATCCCCTCAACACCTTGGCTGCGCCTAGAAATCCTGTCCATAAAAGTAATGAACAGAGTCGGTTATAAAAGGCAGCCTTGGCGGAGTCCAACTATAACTGGAAATGAGACCGACTCACTGCCGGCAATGCAGACCAAGCTCTGACACCGGTCATACAGAGACCTAACAGCCCGTATCAGAGGGCCTGGTACCCCATACTGCTGAAGTACCAAGTAATATTGGATGAGCGATCTCCCACACACCCTCCAGGGCCCTCCTAAGGGTAAAGAGCTGGTCTAGTGTTTCCCGGCCAGGAAGAATGCCACATTGTTCCTCCTAAATCTGAGGTTCGACAATCCGCCAGACCCTCCTGTCCAGAACCCCAGAATAGACCTTACCAGGGAGGCTCAGGAGTGTGATCCCCTGAAGTTAGAACACATCTTGAATGAAGATATGACTGAGATCCTCATCTGTGCCCCAGACACGCTGGTTCCCAAAGTCAGAGACTCTCTTGGTCAGCTTGCTTCTCACACCCAGGGGCAGATATAGCAATTTGGGGGCCCAAGGCATGAAGACAACCAGTTGCCATGTTTCCCTGTCTATGATTACAATTTTATCCTAATTTAAGGATGGGAGGAAGATCTTTTAGTTATCAGACTCCTCTCTTGTGGAACCAGCTCCCAGCCTTAATCCGTGAGGCAGACACCTTGTCTACTTTTAAGAATAGGCTTAAAACATTTTTATTTGATAGGGCCTATGGTTAAAATCTGATGTTAGCCTAGATCTGGACAAGTGGGGGAGTAGAGGGAGGTGGAGTGTACAGTCGGTAAAGACGGCTCTCCCTTGCCCTGCCTCCAACATGCCTACATCTAAATAGGATAGGTTATCCAGAGTTATCTCTGTAGTTATGCTACTATAGGCTTAGACTGCTGGAGGACACACTGACCACTTTCCACACTCTACTACTTTCTTCTGCAATCTGCTCTTTAACTGTACTATTTCCTGCTATTTCAGCTGTTAACTTTATTTTCTCTGTAAGTGTTTTTCTCCCCAGAAGAAGCTACAATGATGTTCTGCTGAGCTGTGGTGGCCTCATGGAGGGGGCCATCGTCTAGCACACTGCTGCTAACCACTTAAACATTCTCCCTCTCCTGATAATAACATTTTGCTTTCCTTGACGTTGGATGTGTTACTACTAGTTTATCCGTTTAATTATAGATCCACTAGGATAAATACAATAAAGTTTATCTTTCACCAAATAGAATATTTACTAAGAAATCACAATGTAACCATAGACACATTACTTGTCCGTGTGTGTGTGTGTGTGTGTGTGTGTGTGTGTGTGTGTGTGTGTGTGTGTGTGTGTGTGTGTGCGTGCGTGTCTGCTCCGTCTTCTCCATCCCCAGTGAGTCGTGGAGGATGGCTGCTTATACTGAGCCAGGATTCTCTGGAGGTTTCTTCCTGTTAAAAGGGAGTTTTCCTCTCCACTGTCGCTGCATGCTTGCTTAGTATGAGGGTTGCTGTAAAGTCACTGACACTAGTCAGTGACTTGATGCAATCTGCTGAGTTCCTTATATAGGAAACATTATTTCTGATTGGCTTAATGAACTGTGAATTGGAATGTTTATTATGTGAAGTGCCTTGAGACGACTCTTGTCGTGATTTGGCGCTATATAAATAAACTTGAATTGAATTGACTCTTGTGTCTACCTTTGAGATGGCTAAAGTGTTTTCTGTTGTTTCTTTTCAGATAAGGGCTCAAAGGGCTTTTAGCTTGTGCCTTCAGTTTTATTCCCTTTGTGGCAGGTTTCCCACAAGTGAATGTTCTGTTGTGCTCTGTCCTTTTCATGCCAAACCTCTTGTTGATCTCAAGCAAATTCAGTTCTGTCTGTCCATCCATCCATCCATCCATCCGTTTTCATCCGCTTATCCGGAGTCGGGTCACGGGGGCAGTAGCCTAAGGCGAGAGGCCCAGACTTCCCTCTCCCCAGCCACTTGGGCCAGCTCCTCCGGGGGAATCCCAAGGCGTTCCCTGGCCAGGTGAGAGACGTAGTCCCTCCAGCGTGTCCTGGGTCTACCTTTAGGTCTCCTCCCGGTTAGATGTGCCTGGAAAACCTCACCAGGGAGGCGTTCAGGAGGCATCCTGACCAGATGCCCGAGCCACCTCAGCTGACTCCTCTCAATGTGGAGGAGCAGCGGGTCTA